CGATGCGGATATTACCCGCACATTTTGAGCCCTTCGTGACCAAGTTCTGTGGGAGAAAACCTGGGAGTAAACAATCGTGGAACGATGAATGCCAACTCGTTGGCATAGCTTGTGGCCGCGAGTTCACCTCGCCATGACCATGGAGCCACGCCTCTCTTTCGCTTTTAGTTGCTTCTTCGTGCTCAAGCCCTTGTATGCTTGTACACCGTTTGACCATCACGTTTCTCTGATTCTCGCGGTGACAACCGCACCGCTTCGAATCCGAGAGATATCTCAGTGCCAGTGCACCCAGGTCGGGTACCCTACGAGTGGCTTACGCACTTGGTGTTCTTAAGTGTCGCTCCTTCCGATGCCCCGTCTTTCGTCGTGGCGCGAGTGTTGGAAGAAGTGGACCTTGCTCTTGGATATTCTTGCTCTTATTGCCCCGATAGCCGCTCTGTTTGATTCCGTCTTGCCCATGACGATTGGATCAAAGACCGGACTATTCCCTTTGGGTTAGCGAAGCTATGGTCTATGTCGTACCTCAGACCCGTGCGTGTCGACACGATCGACCGTCTAAAACCATCTTCCCCGAAGATGTGTCTGGGAACATAACATGGACGTGCCTAATTAACCCCGCTGCTTTTGCCGTATTGAACGACTGTCTCCTCGGCTCCCGGCGTTGATACGTGGTATTTGTTGATGCACACTGGCAACCTAGAAATTTACCTAGCACCATCAGGAAATTGTACTTCTTTGCCATTGGACACTGCATGCATTAAATTATATACTTCCATGGTACAAGAGAGATATAAAGAACAGTGAATAGACCATATTATCCATAAGATCATCTTTCTCCTCTAGGCTCCACCCTTCTCTCCCCCTCTTAACGTTGAGGGGGCATTGAGGTCTCCTTTGCCTCTTCATCCTCACCATTGTCTTTCGCATTTCGGGACGGGTTGGCTAAGCTCTGTCTTCTTGTCACTGGATGCCTGGCAGATTCGGGGTATATTTCTAGCATCGGTTGGGGTTGGAGTATGGCTTGAGCCAAGGCTGGGCGAGCATGGTGGCGCTTGCTTGGTAGCCATCCCCTGAAGTAGCCTGACTGAGCCCCCAGGTGTAGGCCACCCGAACAGAGCTTAGCTTCTCAGCTCTTTCTCCTGGCACTAAGCCCTTTTCCTGAAGTGGGCCTTTTGGGGCCCACTAAACCATTCGCTAATGGGCCCGGGGGTCATGCGAGCGTACTCGATAGCCCTTTTCTTGAAGTGGGCCTTTTGGGGCCCACTAAGCCATTCGCTAATGGGCCCGGGGGCCATGCGAGCGTACTCGATAGGTATAGTTTTCGAGCTCCTCACTGATTAGGAGAATCAGTCTGGGCTGCTATGACGCTAATCTGTGGGTTTAATCTATGCATGTGTTTGGCTGAATGGACTCCAAAATCTCAAAGTCTGCAACCAAAGTGAAACCAAACCTCTTCAAGCAGAGGGGAGTTCTGAGCAGACTTTCTGCTTCCGCCGACGCATTTTGACTCGCACCGTCACACTCACAGACCGTACACCTGAATCGCACCCGTGCCACAGCAACAACCGCCGGGCCGCTATACTCCTCAGACTTCAAAGCGGCCTGCCGCAGCCGCTTCCCTCTTCACCGGATGTGCATGTCATCACCTGACACCTCATCGGATAAGAGCTGGCTCTGGCTCGAGTTTGGAGCCTCGCGGCCTGTATCCACAATGGCTGCGGCCACCAACCCCTTCGGTCTAGTTTGTCGCAGCAAGCTAGCAGCTCTGGCTCTAGCTCTATCTCTGCTTGATGGCGTCCGCAACCCCTTTGGTCAACTCAGCTGCGAACTTGGACTCCAACCTTGACCTGTATCTACAAAAGGTGGCGCTATGGGTAGCTCGTCTTGTGCAGCGACTCACGGCGTGTACGAGCACCTCGTACGTACGCAACGCGCGTGCACCGTAAGCGTCCGAGCAGATGGCGCCGGCTGCGGGGGCGGTGGCCAGCAGCAGGCGCAAGAACTGGTCGGACGAGTGCAAGAACCTGTGGCGCGTCGCGGGGCCGGTGATCCTCACCGGGATCTTCCAGTTCCTGCTCGGCTTCGTCACCACGGCCTTCGTCGGCCACATCGGCAAGGTCGAGCTCGCCGCTGTCTCCATCGTCAACGGCGTCGTCGAGGGCCTCGCCTTCGGCCTCCTGGTAATCAACAGCCACCAATCTCGTCGTCGTCTTAAGTCTTACGGCGTAGCATATCGCTGCCTATGTGACTGATCACTGATTTTACTTTCTCTCTGCGCGCCCATCGATCGCATGCAGCTTGGTATGGGGAGCGCCCTGGAGACGCTGTGCGGGCAGGCCGTGGGCGCCGGGCAGCTCCAGATGCTGGGCGTCTACATGCAGCGGTCCTGGATCATCTGCCTCGCCACCTCCATCGTCCTGCTCCCGCTCTACATCTTCACGTCCCCGATCCTCCGCCTGCTCCGGCAGTCCGCGGACATCTCGGCGGTGTCGGGGCGGTACGCGCGCTGGTGCGTGCCGCAGCTGTTCGCGTACGCCGTCAACTTCCCCATGCAGAAGTTCTACCAGGCGCAGAGCAGGGTGTGGGTCATGACGGCCATCTCGGGCGCCGTGCTGGCCGTGCACGCACTGCTCAACTGGCTCGTCGTGGCCAGGCTCGGCCGCGGCCTGGTCGGCGCCGCCGTCGTGGGCGACGTCTCCTGGTGGCTCGTCAACGTGGCGCAGTTCGTGTACCTCGTCGGCGGCTCCTTCCCCGGGGCATGGACAGGGTTCTCGCGCAAGGCGTTTGCCAGCCTCGGCGGCTTCGTCAGGCTCTCCATCGCCTCGGCTGTCATGCTGTGGTTCGTATACACGCCGTCTTCTTTTTCCTTCTTGATTGATTGAGTTCACTAATCGCTGCGTCGGGGAATATATATTACTGATTGACATATATAATATGTCTGGTTGGCGCAGCCTAGAGATGTGGTATTATACGGCAGTGCTCATTCTGGTTGGATGCCTTAAGAACCCAGAGATTCAAGTTGATGCGATCTCCATATGGTAAGTGCCATTTGTTTCAGTTCGATCATCTTTCTAACAGCATCTGCCTCTGCATTTCACAGAGAACACGTTGGCAGGCCTGTGTGGCCCCTGAAATCGTGATGATTCAATAATAATTCTTTTTTTATTGCTGTAACAGCATGAACTATCAGCTTTGGACACTGATGGTTGCTGTTGGATTCAATGCTGCAGTAAGGTAACGTCCAATACTGTTTTGCTTTTCGGCACCTTTCATGTATATATATATATATTTTCTGAAATAAAAAGAGATCTTTGAGCTCTCAATTGTTGGCAGTACTGGCCACTGACATACTTAGCTCTTCCTTTCCGTTTCGTTCCCCGTAAGTCAGTGTTCGCGTGTCGAACGAGCTTGGCGCCAACCATCCAAAGGCGGCCAAATTCTCCGTCGTCGTTGCCACCGCCACATCGGCCGCCATCGGGGTGATCTTCACGGCCGTTGCTCTTGCGGCGAGGAAGCAGATGCCTCGGCTTTTCACGGGCGACGACGTGGTCGTCAGGGCGACTGCCAAGCTGGGGTACCTCCTGGCCGCCACCATATTCCTCAACAGCATCCAGCCGGTGTTGTCAGGTGCTAGAATCTGCATTGCGCAATTCCTGATTTTTCAGAGAAAACACTGACGATGCAGTATGCACGCAGCTGGTTGTTTTCATGCTCATGCTCAAAGCCGTTGGTGTTTGTTGTAGGCGTGGCGATCGGTGCCGGGTGGCAGTCCTTAGTCGCGTTCGTTAACATCGGCAGCTACTACCTCGTCGGCCTGCCCCTCGCAGCTGTGTTTGGCTTCAAGCTGAAGCTCAATGCAACAGTAAGACAGGCCTGGAAGATGCGATGTTGCTCCGTATTTGATGGCCTTCCTTCCTCAAAGGCAATTTGCTGATCTTGTATGTGCTGCAGGGGATTTGGGTGGGCGTGTTGATCGGAACGGTGTTACAGACTGTGATTCTGTTTGTAATCCTCAGCAGAACCAAATGGCAGAAAGAGGTACAGTACTACTCCAGCTGGAGTATCTAGTAACTACCTCTTCATCATCTTCTTTTCTGCTTTTGTTCCCATATTCTGCAACATTATTTTTCTGCTATTCTTTTTCTGCTCTTGTTCCCATGTTCTGGACCATTTTGTGCAGGCTATGCTAGCAGAGGAGAGAATACGGGTGTGGGGAGGAAACGTCGAGCTGCCACAGACTCAAGAAACGAGACCAAGTGAAAACACCGCCGCACCTGTTTCATAGGAAACCAATAGAGAATAAAAACAGGAATTGTTACCATTTTCAGCCGTCAGAAATTCAGAATCATCTAGTGTGTGATGAAGTGTGGAGTAGTAGGACTTGTAACAGGTGGAAAAATGTGAGACGCCTACAGCTGTGTGCGTGCGTTTGACGTTTGAACCATTGAGTAGACACTTGGTTACTCGAACTCACCTGATTGATGATGACTTTGCTCGGCCTACTCGACCGGCCGGGCAGCTCGGGCGGCTTGCTCTTGCTCACAGCCGGGCCCTGCTGCACACCTCAGAGGGGCCATGGTTCCTCACGTATTAAGCACTTTTTTAGGTCCGTATTGAGCACTTGCAAGAAGGCATGCTCACAGGGAATCAAGAACCAATCATTCATATTCGCAAAGGAAAAAAAAACTAATCGTTCACGACTAAAATTTGGCAATGAAAATAAACAAAATACAGAGTGAGAAAGCCCATGCCATCTTTGATTGGACGGAAAGGAGAAAACAAATTCATATATATGCATATACTCGTGTTCTTGATGACGACGATCAAATAGGTTACACGGATGACATCTGATGATCTGAACAGCATGCATGAGGCGCCTACACATGGACATCCATCTGATCCATTACAGAGACAGAGATGCAGAAGCCACGACCTGGCTACAAAACCTACGACGACGAACTCCGTGAAGGAAGATGCGTACGTGGGCTCTGAGCCGCCGATCAGATCTTGCCAGTCAACTTCTCCGCCTTGATGACCGGGTTGGCGCGGGCGATGGCGTCACGGCTGGCGCCCTTGAAGTCGAAGCTGCAGCCGTGATCCTCCGCGTACCGGTGGCTCCCGCAGAACGTCTTCCCGCATCGGCACACGAACCCCGTGAGCCCCACCTTCTTGCAGCACGCCGCGCACAGGCCCGGCGGCGCCTTCATCTTCGCCGCCGCCTCGGGCGCGGGGGGCGGCGACACAGCGGCGGCTTCCGATGCGGCGCCTTTAGCAGGAGGAGCAACAAACAGACGCTGGCGGCGGGCGCGGGCGCGGCCGCCACCGTTGGCTTAGCCGCCGCGGCGGAACCGGCGGCGACGGGCTCGGGGGTCACCGCGGTAGGGGTGGATCGCGCGACCACGGGATCGAACGCCGTGGCGGCGGAGGAGGCGCCTGGACCGTCCGTCGTGGTGCAGCAGTGCTTCTTGTAGCAGACGGAGCACATGCCGAGGGTCGCTGGGCTCCCGAAGAAACCGCAGCCCACGGCGCACATCGGCGGGGCGCCACTGCTACCTATCTGCTGCTGCGACATCCTGCGCGCGGTGTGCGGATCACGATCGCGTTCACGCAGGTGGTGGTGCAGCGGTTGTAGAACGCCCTACGCTTTGGTGTCTCTGATGGATCGTCCCTTGAGTAGATTGGTGCGAAGCGTGGTGCGTCACAGATCGAATCCAGGCCGACCTCGGTACAGGGTGAGGGTGCGGACGGCTACGATTCAGACTCCGAACTCGGGGTGGATGGACCCAAAATTATTCAGGATTGCTATCTCTCAACCGGTTGCTTTGGCTCTCTCACAACTAGATCTGTGGCCGTCCATCTCGCTCTCTGTGGCTGGCGATCTGCGGCGCGCTCAGCTTGGGTGCGTGGCGGGTGGGGTCGCTGGCGCTCGGATCCACCGCCACCCCGCACGACGGCAGCGAGGGCGGCTCCTTGGCAGAGGCCACCGCCCAATCCTCCTACACCGCAACGCTCCCCTCGGCAGAATCGACCGGCCCGCTCGGTCTCTCTTCCTCTGTTTCTCTTCTTCGATCTCAGGGCCCTTCAATCCAGCGCCCAGGCAGAGCAGGCCGCTCGCCCCTGCTCAGCAGTATCGCTGCTTGCCCTGCGCCGTGCGCTCCTAGCACCAGGCAGGTGCTCGCCCGTGGAGCTCAGCGGTCCGATCGATTTTCTCTGCAGTAGTGCTAGGTGGAGAGCAGAAGCCTCTACTCGGTGGAAGAAGGGATAAGGTTTGGGATGGTGGGTCCACCGCATTTTGTGAATAATTTGTAATTTGTTTTAAAATTTGTGAACAATTTGAAATGTATTTATCTCATATATGGAATCCATAAAAATAATTTATAATTTTTTAAAAAAAAATTTGACATATATTTGTGTTATTCTGAAATTACACCACTCTGTCCAATAAATTACACTAAAGAAATAACTGTAAATATAGTAATAAGACGGTGTAAATATAATTATAAGACAATGTAAATGTATGAAAAAAAATCTAATTGATGGGGAGGCTAAAACAACCTATTATTGGCTAGACAGATTCAAATTATTCTCCGGATATGAATTCTCTCTTTTCGTTTCTTGACTTGATTCGGACTGTCTTTAGTAATCAACGAAACTATAATTTGTATGATAAAACTGAGAAAGTGATGTTTCTAGTCTAGAGTGTGAATTGTGAAACAACAAACACGATTCGTGATGAGACATGGGGTGGAGCTGTATCCAAAGTTGATCTGGAATGCTTGACATGATCATTTCAATACAAATTTAAAAAAAATATGAACATGAATTGAAAAAAAAACCAAATTTTACACGCAAAATTGCATAAACAAATTCATGTACAAAAGTTTATACTCCATCTGTCCCAAAATAGAAGTAGTTCTCGCTTCCCGAGAAGTTAGTTTTTTTTACTTTGACCAATTATATATAACAGAATATTAATATTTATAATACATAATTAGTATCATTAGATAAATCGTTGAATATATTTTTATAATAAACTTATTTGAAGATATAAATGTTGCACGTATTTTTTATAAACCTAGTCAAAGTTGAGAAAGTTTGACATACACACATCACATAACAACTTCTATTGTGGGATGGAAGGAGTATATTTAAATGACAAAAGTTTGTGCACATATTCAATTATAGGGCAAACATATACATACAAAATTTATATAAAACAAGTTTATTTATCAACTTTTGTTTTGTCTTAGGAAAATATTACTATATTTACAAAAGGAAATATGCAAAACAATTTTTTTCTAAAGCAAAAGGTTTTAAAAAATAAGTGGATGAAAATAATTGAAAAAAGGTGGGAAACAAAAAGAAATGTTGCCATGCCTCTTCACCCTTCAGAGGCCTCGCTGCTGTTACCTCGCGTGCCACGTTACAACATGATGCGGCTAGATATCAACTGACTATCCAACCATCAGATGCTGCCTCATGTACAGTGACTTTTTATGTGACGGTTTCCCCTGTATGTAATGTGCTCATATAGACTGGCGCTACTGGTTTCCCGTTTGCTATGTAACCGTGTTGGTGATATGATGTGTTCACATTTTTTATGGCTATCACAGGTGATATCCATTGAGTTATTGAGTATAATCTCATTGCCATATCTGATCATGCATGCTTTCTTTATAAAGTGTGGTGTGCATGCTTGTTGCGTGTTTTCTGAGTTTTGAAAAAAAAACAAGAGAGCCAGCTCTTTGAAACTCTACTTCGTTTTGGATAATTTTCCTTTATTCAAAAATCAGGACAGCAGAACTAGACCAAAGTACTGATCAAGCGTGTTCGGCTACTCAAGTTTCCAGCTTGTTTCAGCTTATTCTCTATAACACAACACTATTAAATCATCCGAAATAATTCAAAATCTACTACACAACGGATCAGCTGAACACGCCGCGCCCACCACCAACCCGAGTCCAAAGCCTGTCCATGAAAGGGGTCGGCTCAACGATTGAACTTGTGGGCAGAACAGTACTATCTGTCCAACTGTCCAAGGAACATGCATTTCTTTTCCTTATTTTGGCTTGCTGGGTACCTGGACCTGGGCAGAATAATTTTCATTTTTGCAGTTCAAAATTAATAGGCAGCACGGCCCAGCCAAAATTGCAGGCGTGACAAGCGCAACAAGAACATTTTTTTTTCTGTGGCCCAATCCAAGAAATGTTCTATTCTTTTCAACCACACGTGCTGTGGCTACGCCATGGGTTCAAGATATTTGGTGGCTCGTACGCGCAACTAGTTCGTACGATCTCCATCCAGTCGGAAATATAAGTCTGTCGATCAAGATTTGTTCTAAGTTAAACAATATATAAGTATTGACTAGCAATATCTACACAAGATGGACTATCTAAATGAAAAGAGTTACATATATTACGAAAAAAAACTTTTCCCAGCAAACTTAGTAGTGCAAATCTTTGTGCTGTCAATCTATACAAAGTTTTTAATATTAATGTTGAAAGTTAAAATAGTTTGACTCATGATATATCTAGATTTTCGATTCAAGTAAGTATTTATATTTCAAGAAGTAACATATAATCTCTACTATAGTATAAAAGTCTACGGAGAAATGTTGTTTGATCGATGCTTGTTTGACATAATTCTTTTCAACATGTTCCCAGATTAGGTAGACCCACCCCTTAACAGCCAGGAACGCGGAACGTGGGTACGTTCCACGTATCGGAAAAACTTCGTTCTGATTCACAGAACGGAACATGGTGGAACGCCGTCCCAAATAATGATGGTACACGACTCAGCAACCGCGTCAGAGTCGGGACGTCCGCGAAGCGGAGTCGTGGCTCGCCGCCGGCCAACACACCTACGCTCGTTAACGGTACCAAAAACTGAACCGTCAGCTCTATTTTTTAAGATAAAAAAAGGAAAACTGAAATTCGAAATGACGCCTTGCGTCGCGTGGGTCGTCTATTAATAAGGGCCTTGAGGCTTGAGCAGCTGAAGAGTCTCACCAAGTGTCAAATACTTAGGGCATGTTTGAAACAAAGGAATATAAAACAGAGGAATGAGAAAAAATACAGGAATATGGTAGAATGAAAGATGGAAAACTACGGTATTTCAAAATGCAGGAATAGATACTTTGAGCCGTTTGGATTGCAGGAATAGGTTTAGATCATCACATGTCTCTAAGTAGCGATTATAGCCATTGATCCATCCTAACCTGGTTTAGGTGCTTTTCAAGTCATTTAGGATATTATTTTTTAATTCATGTATAAGCATAGTATAGTCTCTATACTTTTTTAAGAAGAAGTAGTCTATTTATTACTTGACTCTTCTCTCTCCTATATGTTCCTAATTTTTTATCGTCCCGAGCTCTGGCTGTGTGACAGTGTGATCGCATTCCATTTTATCGTCCCGAGCTCTGGCTGCATCAGGCTTCCGCGAAGGAACGAAAAAACAGAGCCAGGAGCAGATGTTTTCTTTCCCGTGAAATCATATTGTTGCTACAGTATTCCAAAGGAAAGGATTGGCTTCTTTCCTTTGTTCCAAACGCCATGACCATCTTCCTTTCCTCCGTTTTGATTTCCTCCACTTTTCCTATGAAAAAACCGTGTTCCAAACGCGCCCTTAGCTGAATAATCTCAGAAAACTAGATAGGCTGCAGGGTGCACTGATGTAGGCTAGCTGGAGAGTTATCTACTATTTTATTGTTTCAGAATTATCTGTTTTAAAATTTGTGAAAACTTGTGTTAACTCATTCTACCATCGTTCCATTTAGATTTGGTACGCGTTCCATTTGTTGAAGAAACAAGTTGTAGATGTATACCCATTTCGTTTCATAGTTTTTAAAAGTGTCGTACCACGTACCATGTTCCAGTACCACGTTCTTGTTACGGGACCACCGTTGCCTTGAGTTGATAAATAGACCCCTTTGCAAGGAGTGAGCCTCTAGACCCGACCAAGACCAATGCCAGCAGAAAACGCACACAGATGCTTTGAAAGCTGAGCCTGGGTCCTGGGATCATCAAATGAACCGGTGTACTACTTACAAGAATAATCATTTACAGCTTAATTAGTAACTGTATTCTACTGGGGATAATACAGTACTTGCTTTCAGTGTGTTATTACGGTAACCACGCTGATCACACACCTTTGCAATCTCACGATGAACCTGGTCATCTCTGGTACCTTGAAGCATGGGGTGCCACCAAAACGTGCTCACCATCTGAGCTTTGTTTTCTTGGCCTCGATCAGTTTCGCTCTGCGGCCTCTTCGGGATCATTTAGCTGACCTCAACGCAGGCGCTGATCGTCACGCAAGCCGACCAGCAGCAGCAAAGCACGGCAGGTCTCCTTTAAGCACGCCCAGCCCTGGTGAACCATCAAAATGGGCGCCAAGCCCCGCGGCGGCACGGCAGCAACCAACCCGAGCCAAGCAACGGCCTGCGCCGGAAAGAGAGGCAGGCGCCAAACTTACCAAAGCCGCCCCGGCGGCTGGCGCACGCCTGCCTGGCTCGGCAGGCGAATCCAACTGGATTATTCCATCCTCGTCGACCAACCAACGACTCCGACTCACCACCAGCTCGTGCACGCAGTTTCAGTTCGCCATGCGCGTGCGCAGCCTTCCAACGAAAGTCCAAACTCCAAAGCCACACGCGCGGCGGCCTCGCCTGTCGCCTCTCAAGCTCAAAGCGGAGGAGGCCCAAAGCGCGACGACGCTTTTCGCTCGTGCCTGCTGCTGGGTAAAGCCGAGCCGAGCTGCTCCAGCCTGAACTGCGGTGCGGTGCGGGTAAACCTCACCGGAAAACCCCCCGCCGCAGCCCGCTTTGGTATCCTAGACGACTAGACGTGACGTGCTCCTCTTTTCCAGCGCTGCTCCAGAGTCCAGACTTGACACCGGCCGTTTGCTAGTTTCCTCTTTCCTGAAAATGGAAGCTGCCCTTGGTCTGTTTGCATCCACCCGCTTTCGTCCTTGGCCAAGACCGATCTAGCTATACGCTATTGGTGCATTTAGATTGGGCAGTCATGCAACTCAAAGTGACCAATGGCTAGTGACAGATCCTGCGTGAAAGCTCTTATCTGCCAGCCGCACCGCACCCGCTCCACAAAAGACAAGTAGAATTAACCGTGGGTGCGCAATCTTTTATCCCGGGGCGAAGCCGGCAGGAAGCTTCGTCGCGCACCGAACCCCTGACGTGATGTCCCGCCTCCACTCGCCGGCCCTTGCATGCGCCGCCGTCCTCGACGTCGTCGTCCGACCACGTCCAGGGGAGTGGTTCAGGTGAGGCAACGCCTGGCTGCTTCCCCCCGTTGCGGCCTGCTGCAACTTGCAAGCGCTCGCAGCTCGCTCTGTGCGTAAGCATCTAGGTACGCACTGCTGGCATTCTTGTAGGACCAAATTCCGGCAACGCGAAAAACATGTGGCGAGGACGGAGGAACTTATATGCGAGTAATTAACCAATTAATTAAGTACGCAAGCAGTGATGAAACTGATATGATACTAGTTGATAACCTTCTGGCGGCGATTGAGATGGCTCAAGTAAAATAAAAGCACTCAAAGCCGGCGACAGCGAGCAGTGCTCGTGGCGAAGTCATTCCGGCGAATTGATCGACGACGGTCGCATGCATTTGGCGTTTGGCAGCTACGACTGGCGTCTACAAAGCTGATGAGACGAAAAAATAATGCAACTACGGAAAGCCATTCTGGCAAGCTTGCGTAAGCCGTGAGGAGAAAAGAACCTTCCCCAACCTAACAACCTGGGCCGAAGTAGAATTAGAGTTTAGTTTAAGCAGCACCGCAGCAGGGATATCCCAAGTTTTACCAACAAGGGTCTCTGATACCTAGGGATGGAACACCTGGCGGCAACCTTCTGATGATGTTCTCCATGTTTCCAAAGGGGTAACCCATCGATCGGACAAATATGTTGTTAGTACATGTCATATATAAATCTGCCTTGTCTAAATAAGCTCAGCTTCTTTTCTCGATCTTGTAAAAAGTTTGCGCGTCTTAGTATTACATGGATGCTTGGACCATCCTATTGTACTGAAAGCAATGGACCATCCTATTGTACTGAAAGCAATGATGTTACATTAGACACTGATCAACGTGACTTAGCGGCGCCGATTAAGGGCCTATGATCGGGCTGCCGAGCAACGGCGGCGCCGCTTACGCACACCCACGTCGCTATCCGGTGGGAGCAACTCACGTAGCATCTGCATATTACCGAGTCATCGCTGTAGATCTCATCATACGCCTTAGTTGACGTCGACGGCGATGACATCCCGCTAGTTAGTTCCTGTCGTTTCAAGACAAGGTGTTCATCTCGTTTGGACGCCGAGATATGCGATATGCTTTGCGCCGCTATCCGCCTGCTTCTCGTAGAGAGCGCAGACGGTGTACGTCCAGCGTTGGCCGTATCAACTCCGGACAACTCAGTTTCTAGCATTTAGCGTGATATATACCCAGATCAGATGATTTTGGCACAGTAGTGCTACTGATTGAACTGGCAGTACGTAGCAACTGGCATACCATGCATTCATCTGTAGGAGTATGTTTTTGCAGTGGACGATCACATCGCGATCGCCAATTCACAGTGGACTGTGGACCGCTGGGCGACGGAGAGATCCTTCCGAGCTCCGACAGAAAGAACGAAAAAACAAAAAAGCCCCGTGAAACTTCCCTCACTTCCCGGTGCCCGTCGTAAATACATACAGCCCCGCGCACTGGACCCTCTCGTCCCTCCTCGCCTATAAATACGCGCCCGCACTGTCACGTTGCACAGGCACAGTGCCCACCAGCTCGCAGCTCGCCGCTGACTTCAGCTTGCGCACTCACAGTCACAGGCTAAGTTCAGAAATGGGGAGCATCGAGGTGTCCGAGCCGCCGTCGAAGCGCCTGTCCCCGAAGCGCAGCAGCAGCAGCAGCAGCTTCAAGCTGAGTCTGCCCGGTCTGTTCTGCGGCCATTGCAAGGCCACCGCGGTCTCGTCGCCGCCGGACTCCCCAACGGCCGCCACCGGCGCGCGGTCGCTGTCATCGTCGTCCGCGTCCGCGTCCGCGTCCGCGTCGGCCTCGTCGTCCTCTGCTGGCACGTCCCGCGGCGGGCGCGACCGCATGGCGGAGCTCCGCGAGATCTTCCGCCACTTCGACCGCGACATGGACGGGCGCATCTCTGGCGCGGAGCTGCGCGAGTTCTTCGCGTCCATGAGCGACGACGGCGGCAGCCTGGCGCTGGGGCTGAAGGACGGAGGGGAAGGGGACCACCTGACGCTGGGGTTCGACGACTTCGTGCGCATCGTGGAGAGCAAGGGCGGGGAGGAGGAGGAGCGCGAGGACCTCCGCCGCGCCTTCGAGGCGTTCGAGGCCGTCAAGGGGTCCGGCCGGATCACGCCGCGCGGCCTGCAGCGCGTGCTCAGCCAGCTCGGCGACGAGCCGTCCGTCGCCGAGTGCGAGGCCATGATCCGCGCCTACGACGACGACGGCGACGGCGAGCTCGACTTCCACGACTTCCACCGCATGATGAGCCAGGACTAGCTAGCCTAGGCTAGGCGACCTGCCCATCCTGTGATTCCCGTCATATTTTCATTTAGCTAGGACGTGCGCGTTGCCTTCGGTTCGTGTACCTGCAACGTTTTGTTGTGTACTTGTGTTTGTTGGTGGGTGAGCGTGTGCACACGCATACGTGCGCGCGACTTTGGAATATGGTGCCTGTGTGGTGTGTGCTTCGGGGTCTGATTGTATTGTATCTGTATTCTAGAGACAGTGATGCCATGTACTCCGTATTTGTTTGTTCTGTTCGGAAACGTTTGGTTCCGTACGTTTCGGAAACCGATCGAGTCCGAGAGCTAGGCCAACTGGCCGTCAGACTCACCAGCCGGCCGCGCCCAGCGTATAAATCTGGCGCTCTCCACCCATCGACTCATCATCGATTAGAACAGCGCCAAAAGTAACCTGAAAAACGTGTAAGCACGGTTGGAGCACGTTCACAACAAAGGCAAGGAGGCCGCCAAGTCAGCAGTTCAAACAAAACCATCCAAGAAAACCAACGTGGTCTCCAACTCACCATCCACATACAGATCAAAGAGAGGAGGAGGAGGAGGCCAATGCTGCCGCAGCAGCTTTCGTCGACCTCGAAAAAGGTCTAGAAGCTAAGAGAAATGAGACGGGTTCTGGCCAAGATAAACCAGGATGAGAACGATCATCTTAGAAATCCTAAGCCACTTAATGAAGTGTTGGTGTTGATGAGGAGACTATGTACTTGCAGAGTGAACCTGTGATTCTATGAATTCTCTAGTTGTGGTTGGGTGTTCTGATAAAGGAAGGAAAAAACAGTGGTTCAGGATGAAGATGATTTGGAGGATGGCTCAGAGTCTGACTCAGAGGGTGATAGTGCCTTGGAGGATGACTCAGAGGATGAAGTAGAGGCTGCTGAGGAGCAGGGATGTGAAGAAGTAAATCATCACCCATTTGTTGATTACAACGAAGAAGATCCTCCTATGCAAGTACGCTCTACTTATACCCTAATATGGCTGAGTTCAAGTTGGCTCTTTGTCAACAAGCAATCAAACATGATTTCAAATTTAACATAGAGAAAAATTGGAAAGAAATTAGATGGCTTGATTCTGCCCCACATAATTAAGATGTTGAATGAAAAGAGCAGAGAGTTGAGCTTGGAATTGACCGAGTGCTAAGAACAAGTGGCTAAAGTGACAACATTAGGTGGCAGTGGCTTTAGTTTTGTGGTTGGTTTGGTTGAAAGGAAATGTTCTTGCAGACAATGGCAGGTATCTAACATTCCTTGCAAAAGATACGTGAGCATTCATTACCTCACTTACTAATGAACCTATTGAGAAGCATGTTGACTCCTTATACATTGAGAAATTTAGAGCAACTTTTATAGTGTACTATTATGCCTAACAAAACCCAATGGCCCAAGTCTGAAATCTGAACATGTATTTTTTGTGCACTCACCACTACTAAAGGATGTAGTTGGTAGGCCTAAAATTGAGAGCCACAAAAAAAGGCTGAACTGAAAAAGGGAAGAAAGGGCAGCACCAATGCCCTATCTGTAAGGACTTTGGCCACCATTGGCGCAAATGCAAGAAGGGTAGCGAAGAGGACATAGAAGCAATAAAAGTTGTGAGGTACGTGCCTATGTTTCACCTTGAATGCATGTCATTTTTCTATAATCAACAAATGTTTACTTTCTAATTGCTTATGTAGAGGAACACCAAAGAAGAGAAAGAAAATACAACCATAACCGTTCAAAGTTCCATTGTGCCACTGGAGCGCGAAGCTCTAGTAGCTTCTATGTCCTTTCCACCACCAAGGTTTGCTCATCTCACATTTTTCTAAATTTATAATGCACCACATGGTGTCTCATCGTAGTGCTTTCCTTCTCACTTGTAGTTAAAATTTAGAGGCTTCAATTAGTACAATAAGAAAAGTTGTTGAATCTCTTTGTAAAACCTCATGCTGAATTCTAAGTACCATCTACTAATTTTGAAATTTTATAGCCAAAGCTTGGAGATTTCTAGTAAGAAAAGGGGGAAACATGGTAAGTCTAATTCTAAAGCATCAAATAGGTAGCCTCTACTCATTCTGGATTTTTATTGCATGGTCAGTTTTTTGTTATATTCTTCCAATAATTGTTGAACATGTATAGGTCAAGAAGTGGCTCTAATCAGCCTGAGGCACTTTCAATTGAATTTCCTACACCCATAGACAAACCTGAAGGTGTCAATAAGTTGAAGGGAAAAAGGAAGAAGAAGGAGCTTCCTAAAAGGGGTACAAAAATGAGGAAGCTACCATTTGATAGCCCTGCAATGGGCACAAGGAGCAAAAGGCTTGATCATGCTAGCTAGTCCTGCAATGAGCACAAGGAGTAAAAGAAGACCGAGTTTTTGATTCTAATATGCTGAAACCTCATGTGTTATGTAAGAGAATGGATGTAAACTTGTATGCAAATTATCTTTTCTGTTTATGTGAACCTAGATGTTAATGGAGATGTGATTGTGAACCTTGATGTTAATTAAATCTATGCAAGCTATGTTGTTATTTCAAATTTGTTTGCCCTATTGTAATGCTGCATGTGAATAAAAAATATTGTCATGACTACCACTGGACAGGACTAGTTGATGGGCTGCACAGGTTGGACAAGACTACTGCTGGCTAGACAAGACTACTGCTGGCTAGGGTTCTCCTCGTGGGCACTGCTTTGCTCACCCTCTGTGCCATCTTGCTCGCCCTCTGTGCCACCATCTTGCTTGCCATTTGCAGCGCCTTGCTCGCCCTTTGCGCTATTGTCTTGTTAGTCACCCTCCATGCCCTCAGGCACCTCTAGCTCCTCGTCCTACTTGAGTTGTTCCTGGTGTGGCAGCGGAACACAATTGTTATGGCAACTCATCATGTTGTTGAGAAACTAGCATGTGTGCAAAATTATTAGTGCTTGTTGGGGGTGTATCACATGTTAGGAACCCCCACTAGAGTATTTGGGCCCCAATTACAAGGCCTGGAGGCTGTTTGATAATGTCTACTACCAATTTATAGCCATTGGAACTCTTTTGTTAATAGAAACCCCACCAAGGGGAAGAATGAAAAGCTCACATCCCACTTCCCCTATAAAGGAGAGCTGGGAGAAGGTGGAGGGGTGCTTGCTTAGCTCTTTTTACTCACTCGTTGCTCACTCTTAGTTGCTCTCTTCATCTTCTCTCCTCTCTCATGTTCAGTTTTAAATCAACAGTGCTCAAACATTAACAAATGTAGTTACAATTACAAGCAAGAAAGAAAAGTAACCATAGGATATGTATAGTTGTAGCCCCAGAAGACTGTTACAATCAATATTAAGAGAGCAACAATTGAAGTTGCAACAGGAGCATGAAGATAAGCAACGATTGAAGTTGCAACAACAGCATAAAGAAACGTCAGATGCGATCCTAGGAGCATGCCTTTGCTTATAAACAACAAGAAGAAGAGCGAAACTAATGTGAATGCACAAATGTTCTTGTTTTGAGTGTAAGCATTGCACAGAAAAGTCACCAGCAGCATAATACTGTCTCTTTTGAATCTAGATGACGAAGCAAGAGCAATACATGCACTTAAGACACCTTAATCCAACACCAACAAACAACTCGCGACTGGATGAACATTGGATATATAAGAGCTAAAAAAGAAAGAGAAGCAATAGACACTAGTAGGAGGTAAAAAGGAAGAGAAGCAATAGGCATTGGATATATAGTACCAGAATCGCAGTTGGAGAAAGCCAAAAGGAAATTGATCCAAAAAAATAGAATGATAAAAAGAGAAAGTTCGTCGTATGAGAATAAATCACCAAGATAATTATTGCAAGCTTCCATGTCCAATTTTAGGTCAGCTTTTACCTTAGTTGCGGATGGCCTTCCAATTTTGAAGAGACATGGTTTAGCAGCACTACATATCTTCTTAGCAACCATCAAATCAACTTCTTCTAGCTCAAGTGGTGGGAGTGTGCTAAACAGGCGTGTCGTGCCCTATGAAAAAAAATAAAATAGATTAGATTAAGTAAAAGAGTTTTTAGCAATGTAATATTACTTACTACTGAGTGCATTACAATTTATATTTTTGAGTCAGATTATGATAAGAAAGTACTTGTAGCCCTGCATTGTTCTAAAACCAAGCAATAAATGTCCTATAGCTTCCAACTGCTATACCAAAACTCTAATTTGTCTATCTACCCCTAGTGCCTCATTGTAATTTTCCAGTAACTAACTCCATGGCCTGCCATTGAAATCAATCAAAGAGTTATATTTAATGAAACAACATGATGCAGGAGCATTGTTTTGCATATATATTGCTGCTATAGTGAACAAGGAATAAGTCCTAGGTTGTAACCCCCATAAATAAAGGCCTAAAAGACACGTTTCTACATGGCATGAGCCTCTTTCTGTGTATATACTATTTTCCCAGTAGCAAGCAATAAGATGATTGAATTTCTATATCATTTTTATGTTTCACATGCATATTCCTATTTAGTATAAGCAGGTTCATGTTGATTCAGGATCATATATGAAGTTATTATGGAGATATTCACCTTGGGAATAGATAAAAAAGAAATCTCATTTCTACAACAAAAAAGTTTGTGCGAAATCAGCAGGGGAACATACCAGAGGGGAGTAGCCAAAGTTGATGGCCATCCTCGGGCTAGAAATCCTCAGGTCAAGGGGTAAGGCTCGCCGGAGCCCTTTCACCAGAGTAGCAGGTCGGTGCCCACTACACGGGACCACATCCCAAACACCTGCATTGGGGACGCAAGGCGAGCAAGCTAGGAGGGCGTGATGGACGTTGTCGACAATGCCGGCGGTTGGAGAGCTTCCACCCTCGTGGGCCACGTCCTGGACGCCCGCATTGGGGAGGCCAGGCTAGCACCCTGCCGGAATGATGCCACTCAATGGCGGCTGAGACTATGAGGAGGCCAGTTCCACCTTCCGCTGCAACATCCTCAGCCCCAAACCAAGGAAAGGAGAGAGAGCTTGGGGGGAGCGGCGGCGCAGCTGGTT